AAACTTTGTCTTTATTATGAACTGCTATGTTTTGTTTTGTCAGACAGTTAAAATTATCATTTACTATTTTGCCTTGGCTGCCAGGAATTTTAGAGCTAGCTTGTAGTGATTATGCACCAAAGTTTTCATATAATTATCTTCATCTTCTCCCTCTCTTACCCTCTTTTATCAGTCTTTAATTTTTGTTTTAGTGATTCTATCATGTTTTTTATTATAAATAGTCTTAATTCCTTTTTGAAAGTTGGTGGTAGATAAATTCAACAAACAATTATTGAGTATCTACTTCTTGCCATTAAATTAATTCTGTTAGACTGAGAATGTGAAAAAAACAGGCTATGGCTTCAAGAAGCTGGAAAAAAATAACTTTCTCAGAAATTCCTAGGAAATATTTTGTTCAAATAGGAACATAATATATGTATTTTTCTAGGCATATAAAGTGCTTATGTTTATTATTTTATTGCTAGTTAAAAGTCTTCATTAGGATAGATTGCCATTACCAAAGCCTACATGTTTTCTAGAGCTATTTTGTTTTATTCAGATTTAAAATTCAGGACTGAAGGCTGGGTCTCGCATAATCTTTGAGGTAGCAGTGCACGCACAGTCAGCTGTTTCTGTTCTTAGATATCTGCAGAGAGTTGTGAAGCTGGTCTTCTGTGAGAACACACTGCCCTCAGGCCTTTCAACTCCACTCTGGGGAAGAGATGGTATGTGTGACATGACCAAAGGTTGCCCAGGGAGTCTTTGAAGAAGATGATAGTTTGTCTGATAGATATTATAAAACAATTTTGAAAAGAGAAGGCATTCCTACTTTGAGTCTAAAAAGGAAAGAAAGCCTTTTTCAGTTGCTCATATTATTCTTTTATGAAGAAGACTCTCTTATGCTTTGTGCAACTTTTGAATGAATACCCAGTCCCCTGAAAATTCATACTACGTAAAGGCTTAGAAGATTGTAAATACAGTGGTAGCCCATTACATAACTGGTTGGCCAGCAGCATCATTTACAAAAACATTGGCATTCACACATTTTTAAATGTAAATTAAATGTATCTTTTCACCACTCTATGACCTGACTTTTAAAAACTAGGTTTGTGAATTATTCTGACCCAGATATGTCATCCCTTGCCCTATGAAACAGAATGTAGTTATTGCCTGAATTTTTATGGAACTGATTACCCTTTAAGTGAATGTCCTTGTCTTCATTCCTCATCTTCTCATGCTAACTGTTGGCCTTTTGCTTATTTTACTGCTTATTAGCACCTTTATGTAATAGGCAGAATAATGCCCCCACCAACATGTACATGTCATAATCCCCACAACCTGTGAATGTTACATTACATGGCAAAAGGAAATTAAGGTTGCAGATTGCATTAAATCTGCTCATCAATTTACCTTAAAATAAGAAGATTATGCTGGTTATCTGGGTCTGCCCAGCGTAATCACAGAGGTCTTTAAATGTAGATAAGAGAGGCAGAAAGGGACGGGGACATCAGAGTGAAGTGACATGAAAAGAACTTGACCCACCTTTGCTGGCTTTGAAGACTGAGGAATGGGGCCCCACGTGAGCCAGGGAATGCAGGACACTTCTGAAACCTGGGAAAGGCAAGGAAGCCTGTTTCCTGGAGCCTCCAGAAAGGAACGCCCTTCTGACCCCTTTGATTTTTGGCATCCAGTGAAATCCGTGTTAGATTTCTGACCTACAGGACTGTTAGATAATAAATTTGTGTTGATTTAAGCCACTAAGCTTGTGGTAATTTATTATACAATAAACTAATACAGAGCCGGCCCCGTGGCTTGGCGGTAAGTGTGCATGCTCCGCTGCTGGCAGCCCGGGTTCGGATCCCGGGCGCGCACGATGCACTGCCTCTCCGGCCATGCTGGAGCCGAGTCCCGCGTACAGCTGCTAGAGGGATGTGCAGCTGTGACATACGACTATCTACTGGGGCTTTGGGGAAAAATAAATAAATAAATAAAATTATTAAAAAAAAAAAAAAACTAATACAGTCACACATTGCTTAATGACGGGGATACTTTCTCAGAAACTCGTCGTTAGGCAATTTCTCTGTTGTATGAACATCATAGAGTGTAGTTATACAAACCTAGATGGTATAGCCAACTACACACCTAAGCTGTATGGTACTAATCTTATGGGACCACTGTTGTATATGTGGTCTGTCATTGACCAAAATGTCATTATGTGGCATATGACTATACACTTACCCATGTTCGAGAAAGGAAAATGAAGATGAAACTCAAGGCGGGGAAAAGATTTAGTGTGGGTTGAAGTTGCAACTCTTGCTGACAGAGAGATAAAGGCCATCACTGAATTTCAGCCCCTGCTCTCACTGTTTCCCATTAATACAGAAAATCTACATGTGCCTGTTGCCAGTGTAATGACCTGAAATACACGCTTCAAAACAATATACCTTTGTTTCAATCTGCCTCCAGTCCACCCATGTGGCCGTCTTTGGAGTGATCTTTTCATAGAACAGATTTAATTGTGTTATTTCTCTTTAAAGTCCATTTCATGATTTTCCGTTGCCTAGAGAAAAAAGCCCAAATGTGTAGCTCATCAGTCAAGGCCCCCCTACAACAGAAGCTTCTGCTGCTGCCTATGTCATACTTCTCATTCCTATGCACCTTATGTTCAGCCAAGGTGAGGTACTTACGTTCTGTGAGCCCAGCATAGTATTCTGCACTTTTCTCCTTCGTATATGTCATTTCCTGCCGGATCATCAATCATACCTGCTGGCAGACTCCTAGGAACTGAATTCTTCAAGACTCCACTCAAACATTAGATTCTCTGGAAAATCATGGAACCTTCCACATCAACTTAAATTGTTTGGTCTGTCCTTTATGCCACATTGTGACTTGTAAACCTTGCAATATTAAAATTATTTCTTTCCATTTCATTCTTAAACTAAACTGTGAGCTTCCTGAGGGCAGCAAGTGGGTCTAATAACAAATCTAGGGGACTTAGTATCTCACATAGCTTATACAGTAGGTGCTTAATAAATAAATATTAAGTGAACAAATGATTATGTTACCTGACCTGGCCAACCTTCCACAGAGATGCCATTAGAATGCAGCTTTCTGATTCGCAGGCCAGTCTTTGATTAGATTCTGCCACTAAAATTTAAGTACCATAAAGGAAATTTTTCTATATACCTAGGGAACATTTTTCATTTTAAATAAAATTCTGGTGCTGACCGACTTCTTTTGTTTGATGCCACTCCCCTTTCTGTCCCTTAATTTAACACTTGCAATTTCATAATTTTATTGTATTGAAAATGAAAACATCGAAATAATCTCTTTTGTTTAGTTTTTTCCTGGCTCTATTTGGAAAGATTAATTTGTGCTGTGTATCTGTTTTTATTCTTAAAATGTTGAGAAGACTGCAATTTAATAGAATAGCATAACAGGTATCAAAGTCTTTTGGCTTTAAATATTTCAATTTTCTCTCAGCATTTCTATTTTTCTGCTTTTGTAGATTTGATATTTATGTCAGTTTCTCAGTGGTTACATATAGGTTTGACCTTGCTGCACGAGTCTTTATGAAAATGAGGTAATGTATATGGTAGAAATTGGAAACTGTAAAGCACTGTTCAGATGGAATGAATTATTTTCATAATTTTTTTATTGCTTTACACTCTTGACTGCAAAACATTCACAATTTTCATGATGATGGGAGTAGTTCCACTGGGAATTACTCTATACAACAGCTGTCATAATTCAAAATCTTAAAATGGTTGGCATAATTTTTAGTGTGATTAGTAGGACATATCCTTTGTGCTGCATAGTAATTTATAAGTTTGGTTTACTACTTTAAAAAAGGAAAACACTTTTTATTAAGATGAATAAATCCATGTTGGTGTTAATGTTTTATATAAGAAGATTATCAATAATTTAAAAAATAGTAGAAGTCATTGATGAATCAATGAGACTTAAATGTATTTAAAACAGATTTTATTTTTGAAATATTATGAAAATGTTGATAAATGTCCAGAAACTGTAGACTGTAACTGTGGAAATTTCCAGCTTGATTTAATGCATTGCTTGGATGCCCGCTGTTGGATTTGGGTAAAGCTAACTTGTTGTTTTAGAATGGCTCAAAGAGCTAGGCAAAGCCAAGGTTCAGAATGTGTCTTCAGGATTTGAATTCTCTCACATTTGGTAGGTGATTTATTTGCTTTCTTTATTTGAAGGGCAGCTTTAAAGTAATCTTCTGATACAGCTACTGATATTTTCACCGAGAAAGAAATGTCCTGTGAGAAACCTGTCTTCCTTAAATGTACCAGACATATCTCCCATTGTGCATCAACAAATTGGCATTATGGTTTTTTAAGAGCCAGTCTCCAGTGAATTCATTCAGAACAAAATGAGTCTAGAGAACCTAAACATGCAGATTGTGCTAGAGACTTACCTCACCACAGAGTACGCTTTTCTAGAAACCACAAAACCATTCTCCTGTACATCATGTCAGTTTCTCATCTCCTTACAGGATGCCAGATAAATTGACACATTCTTACTCCTTGTGTCTTCTTTGAAGAGATTCCTTACTTGCACCAGATTTCTGCCATTATATCTCACTTTCCTTATTATAAGCAGCGAGTCTCTTTATTCTTTTAAGTATGTAAATTCACAGTGTATGATAACTTCTAATTCATTCCATGGACTTGAAGCTTGTCCGTGATAGTTTTAGTGAAACTACTAGTTGCCACTCTCCCTAGTTGTGGCTTACATTTCACTTTTGAAGACTTCAGCTCTCTGTCCACTTGTTTGAGTGTCTTTTCTTGATGATACAAAGTTCAAAATAAGTTTATCTGAACACAAATCTCTCTATCATGATCCCTTAAACAGTTTGCATGAATTCCCATGTCAGCTTGATGTTACTACTGCAGCCATTTGTGGTCTTTTTTAGGTCAGCTGGGTATTTTTCTATATGAATAACTCTGTTTCTATAAATAACTATCAGCAATGATTGTTTTATTCTTGCCTTGCAGGTACTACAGTGCAACCATTCTGCAGATGTCCGGTGTTGAAGATGATAGACTTGCAATATGGCTGGCTTCAGTTACAGCCTTCACAAATTTCATTTTCACACTCGTGGGAGTCTGGCTTGTTGAGAAAGTGGGCCGCAGAAAGCTTACCTTCGGTAGTTTAGCAGGTAGGTGCCTGGATGAAGAATTTAATTATAAACTTTTCTCTAATGATGACAAGTTTACCTTCCAAAATGCAATACCAATACCATTTCTTATATAGTTTTCTTAGCCAAATAATAGAGTTCCTCTAGACAAAAAGTTTTTGAAAAAGAACTTAATGAATGTTGTGATATGTAACTAGAAACTAGAATTGTCTAAAACCAATAATTGTAAAAACAATTTCAGTCTACTGAGGTTAACATTTTGCTGTTATTATTTTGAGTTCTTCTCAAAGGTACAAAAGTGAAAAGAGTAATCATTTTTTGTTCTTTCTTGATTGAAAAACTTGGTATTCATAAACTCACTTTTTAACATATGTTTTATTTTTAACTTTTGAATAATATGGGAGTAAATTTGGAGTATTTTTTTCCAAGCTCTTTCGACAGTGGAACATTAGAACCATGTAATTTCTTCACAAAGCAAGGACAGACTCTTTGTGTTTGAACTAGGCCTAAATTGTAGGGTAAATTCTGATTGGTTAAGTATATTTTCTATGATAGCTAAATAAGACAAAACCTTTCTCACTTTCAAGTATGTTTTGTCTTTAAATTCTGCCCATTTCGTTCATTATTTCTCTGTAACACAAGGGCTGTTTCACTGGACCAAATGAGACACATTTTCACCATTGTCTTCACATGGTTACATCATATAATTTTCTCATCTTTTTCAAATATACAAGCAGATTCCTAGTTATCGGTTAGCTGTCCTTTAATAGCTCCTGTATAAGTTTATTTAGAGTAAGAATACATTTTTCCATTAAAGTGTAAAGTTTCCAGGCTAGCATTAACTAAATTCTGTTTTAACCAAATTATACCTAAAAGATTGATCTAATAGAACTGTTTGAGGCATTTGTCCCAGATTCTGATGAGAAAATACATTCTGAGTTTCATACTCAGTTATTAAGAATGTATATTCTCGGGGGCCAGCCCGGTGGTGCAAGCAGTTAAGTGCGCACGCTCCACTGCGGTGGCCCGGGGTTCGCCGGTTCGGATCCTGGGCACGTACTGACGCACTGCTTGGCAAGCCGTGCTGTGGCGGCATCCCATGTAAAGTGGAGGAAGATGGGCACGGATGTTGGCCCAGGGCCAGTCTTCCTCAGCAAAAAAGAAGAGGAGGATTGGCAGATGTTAGCACAGGGCTGATCTCCTCACCAAAAAAAAAAAAAAAAGAATGTATACTCTCTCCCACCCTTTACTCCAGAAGGAAGAGTGGAATTCTTCTACCCTCTGTTCCTGCCTGAGCAGCAGAAGCCCTTGAGTACAATAATGGAAGCCGAGCTGCAGTATCCACACTGAGGGGAAGATTGTCTGATTAATTAAGAGGCAAAGATAATTGCAACAGCCAAGATTTATAGGGAGGCAGGAGGGTAAGTGAGGAAAGGTGAGGGACAAGTGAGAGTTTAAAAACCATACATTCATACACCTGTTGAAGGAACAAGAAGTGTTTAGCCTGGAAAAAAGACTCAAGGGACACCTCGTAAATATCTTTTCTAGCAGATGGTAGATGTCATGAGGACATAGATTTTTACTTAGTATAAGAAAAATATTCCTAATATTTAGAGCTACCCAACAATGAATTGGGCTGTTTCATTAGAATGGTAAACTCTCAAAAAAATGATAGATGACCTTCGGGTAGTGATATGCTAAAAATAAATTCCTCCAGTTGGTTGGAAATTGGATTTGCTGACCCCTGAGATTCAGGTCAGCTCTAAGAAGAGGTAATAGCCGCTTTAAAATTTTTTAAGTGGATACCTTTCCTTTTCAGCAGGGCCTCAGTATATTACTACCTCAAGAGGTCTATTTTTTAAATGGAATTTCAGGTCTTCTCAAGTTTGGGATTTGGCTTTTGAGATCTAGGGAAACTGCTGATTTTGAGATCTGAGGAAAACATTTTTTCTAGCAGTGTCTGTCCCTTCGTTTGTTGTATTCCAAGGAGACAATTTCTCATCAGTTCTGCAGAATTTTGAGACATTCTAGATAGAGCCAGACTGTTTGGGTTTGAATTGTGTGAGCAAGGTTCTGCTTCCTCATGTGTAAATAGGGATTAATTATAGTCCTTTCTTCATAGGGTTGTAATGAGAACTAAATACATTTATATATGTATATCATTTAAAACACTGCCTGACACAGATAGTAAAGTGCCAGAGCATTTTAGCTGTCATAGCATTTTAGCTGTCACTCTTTAATTACTGCCAAAGAGTGATTCTTTGTTATTTTAACTGTAATGTGAAATCAACTTTCATCATCAGAATCCAGGAACTTTCCTGAACTCCTCTAGCTGATGTCTTGTTTCACCTCTCAATTTAGGTCCTCTGCCCCAAGGATTTCCAGAGCCCATCCCTGACTATTAAGAGTATTAAGACAATTATTTGGGGGGAATGACCAAGAGATTTCAGGGACTGCTTCTTATGAGCAACCTGTAGGTACTTTTCTTTCCTCTCTTGTTCTCTTTTCGGCCAAAACCACCAACACCCCAGCTCCGTCCACTACCAATACCATACAGTGATGCCTCCAGCTTGAGAGATCTTCCATCAAGTAGGCATCTGATTTTCCTTGTGATGTGGCCAATTAAAGTGATGACGTAGATATTTCAGGGGTTTAGGAGGTAGAAGGCCTGGTTTCGTGTCACAGATCTCCTCTTTTACTTGTACATATAGATGTAAATAGTCCTCTTTCTGCAGTTCTGGTTTTTAACTGTGATGAAATAGGTCCCACTAGAACATAATGACCAATGGAAGTGTACACCTTCAGAAGAAAACTTACCGCTAAACAACCTTGTTAGTGTATTACTGTTACTCCATTGTGACCCACGCAATAGATGTTTATCTCACTTTCCGATACCAATTGATTCTGGGTTACTCATATTTTTATTTGAATATTTTGTTTTATTCATTCGTATGTAGGTATATACTTGATATTCTAATAGTGCTAAGTATTATAACACTGTTCTATTTAAAATTTCTTAAATTAGCCTGGAATTTTTAAACCTTTGATTCAGTTTTGTTCCCTACTTTGTGTTTTTATTATGATTTATTTTCTTACATTGGGTTAAAAATAGTGGGAAAACTTATATCAAAATAACTTTTTGAATAGGTATTCATTCTTTAAAAATTACTACAAATAAACTATATTTAGCTAGGCCTGGACAAAGAAACCCTTTATACAAAGAAATATAAAATATATAGTCCCTGAATAATTTTAAATGTAGGACATTTTGTGGTGTTCTGACTTTTAATATTTTCAAAGCTTGCTCAGAGAACTGGTCTTTCTTGTAAATATTACAAATTTAATGACAACCTCTTGATTCTTTTAATAGAAGAAAGTTTATATCTGTGTAGCTTTATTGCTTATAAATCAGAAAGCCAGAAACACGGGGTTATTTCTGCCAGATATTTTGGTAGTGGAATATTTCTGAAAACATCACCTACAGGCTGTCTCCATCAGAATTACGCAGGGGGTACTAATTTTAAAATGTGGATTCTTGGGCCCTACCCCAGATCTGCTAAGTTAGAATCTCTGGAGGTGGGGTCTGGAGCACATGCACTTTAAACATGTTCTCCAGGTAATATTTACACACACAAAGTATGCTCTATTAGAATCATGGGAAGGGAAATTATTTTTTTCTAAGTATTTACTAATAATCTAAGCCCTGCACCAGGTAGTTAATGTAACTTACTACATCAGATATTTTTGAGAATGCTGTTTATCCAACACACTTCACTTCCTGCGGAGAACGCCTTTGTTAGGGAAATTATATCAGAATTCCAATATATAACAGTATACTTGGTTAAGAGAGACTCTTCTCTTGAAATATAAAGAACGTGCCAAAACTGCCCAGGACACCGGAGAAGATCCTTTCATCCAAGGCCTTGCTATGTTGGAATCAAATCTACATGGCACTCATGATTCATTTGACAATAACTACAATTATTTTGAATACTAACAAGTGACTGATAAAACATCTGTAACTTGTTAAATGAAAGGAAATAGGTAATTCAAGTGGTTTTAAGTTTTAAAGGTATATGAGTGTATGACAGTACTAAGTGATCATTTTATTCCATAAATAAAGTCATGTAAGATATCATTCCCTTCCCTTAAGGAATTTATCATCTCATAAGGGTTTTTACCCTGTCTGGTCATCATAATCACCTGTGCAGCTGTTTAAAACCCAGATATCTGATCCCCAGAGACTCTGATTCAGAGGTGAGGTATATCCTGAACATTTGCTTCCTATAGGAAGCCAGGAGAAACACTGCTAGATGTAGTAAAGAAGGTAAGGGTATAATACTGACTTTTAAAAGATCTCCATCCAAAATAGGTTAAAATAAAAATAAATCTGTGCTTAAGAAGGGTAAACCTTCAGCTCTTTAGGAATTTTGTGTAGCCAGATGGTCCACTCCCCATATTTTCCAGGCGGGTTGAACTTTTTTAGACATGAATGCAAGAAACATATCGTCCATACTGCAGAACTCTCAGCTAGGGTATGTGTATCACACAACCCCATGACCTCAATTGGATAGTCTTAAGTTTTTGTTTTGTTTTCTTCACAAATAGCTAATATTGCAAAAATCTGTGGTACTGTGGTTCATCCATTCAACCATTACTTATTAGGATCTGCTGTATGTCAGGCATTAGAATTGGACATATGCAAGTACATGCTAGGTATACCATCTTAAGAGTTCACATTTTATCATGGAGCCAGGTTCCTTAATAAGTGTTATGAAAGAAGAGTATCATGTTTCCTTCACATCTTAAAGTATCAAAGTTTCGTGGTTGGAAAAAAATCTTAACTGTCCCATGACAATATGCTATGGAAGTAATTTGGGAAAATCTTTAGAGACCCAGGTTCTTTGATAGACAGATTAATAGTAAAATTCATGGTTTGGTTTGTTTTGTTTTGTTTGAGGAGAGAGGGATGATTTACAGAACAGACCTAATATATCTGCTCTCTTCCTGAGAGGCAGACCTCTTTTCTGTTTCCCAATTCAGGTCTTGATAGTCTTTTGAGAACAATAATGCCTCAAACTATTGCTATTTCTGGTTTGAATTTTAAGCCAACAAGGAGAAAAGAAACTGATTTTAGGTTCATGACTTTTTTGGCCTAGTATGGCAAAATAGACTTCTGATCTTCCCTTCAAGCCTCCCCTTCCTTGAACTTTTTCCTACAATTTTGAAAGTATGCTGCTGCTTCTGCTAATGGTAATGATAGTACAATAACTAATGTTTTATAGCATTACAGCATTACAAAAATCTTTCAAATACATTATGATATTTAAAATTCACTACAGTTCTGCAAGGTGAATATTTTCACAAAGCCCCATTTTATAGTAGAGAAAATTGAATTTTGGAAAGATCATGTGCTTTGACCAAGATCACAGAGTCAAGAAACAGCAAAGCTAGACTTGACACGTCCCCTCCATCTTAAACACAAACACCTCAACTGTTGTATAATCCATTGCACTTCCACAGTTCTTCCCAAAGTTCTTCTTTTATCCATTCTTTTAATAATATTTTCAGTTATATCTTACATTACCTTCCAGTTTAACTACTAAAAACTTTCCATAAATAACCTCCCTAAATTCCATATTTTAAACATATTGCCCCATGCAAATACATTGTACAAATTAATGCAGCCATATTTTCTTTCTCCTTTCTTCCCGTGACGCTTTTTGTTTATCATCACGATGGCTGGAACAATAGTCAGAAATTTGAAAACTTTCTTATTTACCATCAGGATGTCTCTCTGGGACTCAAAAATGAGCCTTTTCAGTAATATACATAGTCACCATTCCTGTACCTTAAAATCAAAGACAAATATTCCACTTCCAAGTACCAATAAGAAAGACAAATGAACACAGTCATGTGTCACTTCACAACTGGGATACATTCTGAGAAAAGCATTAGGCGATTTCATCATTGTGCGATCATCATAAAGTGTACTCACATAAACTCTAACCCGACCCCTGACCCTGACCCCGACCCCAACCCTACTACCCATCTAGGCTATATGGTACTAATCTTATGGGACCACCGTCATATATACTGTATGTCATTTACCGAAATGTCATTATGCGGAGCATGACCATAGAGTGTTATAGCATTTCTGGCATCTTAAAGTCTTCCAGAAACAAAAGCTACTCTTTAGTAAGAAATGCTCTTTCAACTGCTTTTGAAATATTTAGTTTGTTACATTTTAGTTTACTGATTTGGGTCTTACGTGATCAAATGCCATTAGAACAATTTTCTTAGCAATGAAGGGAAGACTTGGTGTAAATCTGTTGCATTTTGTACTTCCTGACGTGTTAGGCACTCAACAATGTTGGTTATGTTAATTGATTTTGAGACTGTCAGCAATGCAAGGTTGGGTTTCTTTTTGGAAATCATTACCAATCTACTGCTTGGCTAGCAAATGTATTTGCTTTGAATCTCACTCTTGTCATGACTCACAATGAATGTGCTAGTGAGTTTTTCTGATAATTTGTGTATATATATTATGAGCATTTTTTTTAATCCAGTGAAGATAGATCAAGGTATTTTTCAGAGATATGTCTTGCCAATCCCAGTCTGCTTTGGAAGAATGTTGTCAACTATTCTCTGATGTAAGACTTTTTATTTTCTCTTTTTTAGGTACCACTGTAGCACTCATTATTCTTGCTTTGGGATTTCTGCTATCAGCCCAGGTTTCCCCACCCATCACTTTTAACCCAATAGCTCCGTCAGGTCAGAATGCTACTTGCACAAGATACAGGTAAGATTTTGTTATGATCTCTTTCTTAACCTAACTCCGGTAACTTTTTTTATTTGCTTTTAACTTTTCTAAAATTTGAGAGATGAGTAGGAGCTGCTTTATGTTATGAGTAAGAAACTGCGAAAAGGTTGTGCAGAGGGACCACTAGAGAAAGGAACAGTGTTTCCAAGACATGAGAGTGAAAGTGCTTAAGGAAAAGTGAGTTGTTACATAATTTTGGTGATGTTTCTGTGGAAATTAAGAGTAGGGAGTGATACAGAATCTAAGCAGGAATGCTGTAAAACTATTTTAGATCGTATACACCTCAAAGACATCTACATTCCAGGTGAAATAAATAACTTTCATCTGTAATTAAACTTTTCCATGAGGTACATGTCTAATATAGTTGATTCTCATCTGGATATTCTAACAGTTACTCTTCAGTGAGTTCCATAGGTATCCTCTCATTCATTTAAGCAGAAAAGAAAGTTTCCTCTCACTGCTAGAGTTCTTCCAGAGGATTAGAAAGTGGAAAGAGGTGGTGGAAGAGAGTGAAATGTCTTCTAATGGCCAGCTGTAGGTTTTAGAGCTTGTTAGCTCTAATGGTGTACACACTGTGTGCTAGATGGATGGAGAAATGGATGAATGGGCAGACAGATGGACTAAAGAATGTGCAAATGAATTAATTAAGGATTTCATGATTCAACAGACCAATTAATATATTTGGCAGCAGAGTTTCGAAGTTTTTTACTTCATTTTAGTGGTTGAAAAGGCTAGAAATCCCTTTAAAACATGGCTAGACTAAGACCTAGCTTTAAAAACAAAAAATTATATTCCTTCAGCCTCAACTAGATGGACACAAGTCTGAAATCAATGGGTAAATTATCTTATTAATTAATTTATTAATAATGGGTAAATGATTTATTAATTTTTAGTCAGATACTTCTATATGAAATTAAAACATTACATTGATACACTAAATTCTACTTGGAGCTTCTTATTGAGCTTGTATTTATGGTGGCTTCTCATTCCAACAATGAGGAATATATATATATATTATTATGCCTTCCTGGTCCCAAATTGTGATATCCACTTGTCTTTGGAAATGAAAGGTTATAGCTCCTCCTTTCTCTTACTAATGAGTTTATTTATTTATCGGCCTACTGATTTTTTTATAGTCTTTATCTTAAGGAAGACTTAAAGATGTCTTAATAAAAGAAGTTAACCTTAGGATAGACTATTTCTGAATGACGTGATCTTTACTTTCTTTGGATGTCCCACCTCAACTGCTAGAAAGATGATAAAGCTATTGCCAGAATTCTGCATGCTCTACTTTTGTTTTTCTTGATGGATATTTTAAGTAAAATGTTTTTAACACAGTTACCTCTAAGAAATTATTTAAAAAATTACTGTTTGAGCAACATAGAATACTCTTTAGATCTGATGTCTGATTTAGCAATTTAGATTCAGAATAAGACTGATACACTGTCAGGTCAGCTGAAGGCAGAAAGTCAGCCAGAGAGTATGAAAAAAAAAGTTTTATGAACTTTTGACACAGGAAAGGTATGACTAAGTTTTTAGTGATTTGCATAATGAATTAGTCTTCCTGATATCTACTTTTTTTTTAATTGATGTTTTAATAGTTTATAACATTGTGAAATTTTGGTTGTAGATTATTGTTTGTCAATCACCATATACACGTCTCCCTTCACCCCTTGCTGACATCTACTTTTAAAGTTGAAATAAAAATATTTATTGTGCTAGTGTAGCTCATTGCACAGCAATTTATGATCATCAGTCTATTAATCCTCCTGATCCTTCTAAATTATCATCACCTACCTAATATTTCAATATAAAATGTGATGGAGTGAGAGAAGTGGCACAGTCTAATTTTATTTTTATCAAAAAAAATGGGGGGCCGGCCCCGTGGCTTAGCTGTTAAATGCGCACGCTCCGCTACTGGTGGCCCAGGTTCAGATCCTGGGTGCACACCAACGCACTGCTTGTCCAGCCGTGCTGAGGCAGCGTCCCATATACAGCAACTAGAAGGACGTGCAACTATGACAGACAACTATCTACTGGGGCTTTGGGGAGAAAAAGGGGAAAAATTAAAGGAGGAGGATTGGCAATAGATGTTAGCTCAGGGCCAGTCTTCCTCAGCAAAAAGAGGAGGGTTGGCATGGGTGTTAGCGCAGGGCTGATCTTCCTCACAAAAAAAAAAAAAAATAGCAATTTTTGAAAACAGAACCAAATTTTAGATGTCCTTTGAAAGTCAATGATTATGCAAAACAATTATTTATTGTGTGCCTTCTTTCAAGTAACATATTAGGCTTTGTGGGAGTTTGACAGTATGTGTTTATAGTCTGAGTAATGTTATAAAATATGCCTGCAGTCCCCTTACTAATTTTCTTGTTAAAACTATCCATGCATGTTTCCCCTTTCATTAAGATAAGCATGAAAAAGTGCTGTTTGTAGTACCTTAGAATGAGTAATGTTCATGCAGTAAATGTAGGTAGTATGCTTTCCCTGTGGAATGATCCATATAGGAAAATTGAGCAAATAAAATATTTAAAAAGGGAGTTGGTTTAATATATGTCTTAAGAACATTGTATACTATTGTTAGGCATGTAAGTGTTTCTCCATTTGGGGAAAGTAATGTAGTTCTGCCCAATAAAGGTTAAATGCCTTTCCCCACTAACTCAGCACTTCCACTTACAGAAATCTTTAGACTATAGTCATCAGTATGTAATCCATTCTGACTAGAGTAGAGTAGAAGAGAAAGGGAATGGTTCAAGAACAATGGTTCTTCTTTATTTTAATTCAAGAAATATTGATTGTGTAGCAGGCGTGTTGTAGGTTAGGGCCAAAAATATTGTAGGTTGGGGCTCACTAAAGACTTTGGATCCAAGATATTGACTATCCTAAATAATTTCCAATGAGAACTTCCCCTTTTTAGAATATTTTAATTTTTTAATTGACGATATTTTATTCCAAAGCCTGGTTAGATTTTTGTGAACTGAATGAATTAAAGAACATCTTTCAGACCTGCTTTTTAGCAGATAAAACTGTACAAAGATAAAGACAGATGCAAGTTGCTATAGAAAATGTACAGCCACCTGAATAAAAACTGTCACAGGGTGCCAGCTGTGGCTAGGAGAAATAACTCTAGTGTGGGTATCATCTGAATCATATATCTGTATAAGAATATACATGCTCTTAATATGGCCCTCAGCTCCACGTTCTCAAATTACTAATGTACTATCCCTTTTGTGTCCAATTAAACATATTTTCTTTATGAGAGCTACCCAAGCTTTGAGGATTGAAACCTTTCCTAGGTAACACTGCCCTCAAATCCTTGATTTTTTTTTATTTATAAGTGTAATCTTAGTATATGCAAATCACTACCATACAACCTTTCAAAGTAGACAGATATTTCCTAAAGTAAACAATTGTAGGCCCTGTGGCTTAGCGATTAAGTGTACGCGCTCCGCTGCTGGCGGCCCGGGTTCGGATCCCGGGCGTGCACCGACGCACCGCTTCTCCGGCCATGCTGAGGCCACATCCCACGTACAGCAACTAGAAGGATGTGCAGCTATGACATACAACTATCTACTGGGGCTTTGGGGGGAAAAATAAATAAATAAATAAAATCTTTAAAAAAAAAAAACAATTGTAGAATCGCAAATTACCCTTGTCCTGGGGTTTTCATCTCATCTCATTCATTCATGCATTCAGTTAAAAATAGTTATGGAGCACCTACTCATAGGATTATAGTAAAAATGAATTAATATATGAAAAGCACGTAAAAGTGCTTGGCACATAGTAAGCACTCAATAAATATTATATTCATTGTTAAAATTAATAAAGCCTATAATAGGAGATGACATTGGGATGACGGGTAGAAGTCTTTCCCATCTTTGGAGAAGACTCCCTTGCGGATAGGATGATTGAACTGAGCTCCGAAAGGGGGAGAGGAGTGTGCCAGGCAGAAGAAACAGCAAAGGTGTTTCTTTACAAAAGACCACAATGGTACAAAGACTGGGCAAGGCAGTAAGGAACTTGGCAAGTGCAAGGAACTGAGAAGGCTGATGGGTTAGAGAAGAATAAGAGAAGAAGGCTGGTAAGGTAAGCCAGAGCCAGATCAAGCAGAACCTCAGAGGTCATGATCTTTAGTCCAGGAACATGAACACATTGAGGAATTTTAAGCAAGGTAGTGACTTGACCAGATTTTCTGTTCTAAACTTTCTCTCTGAGGATGAGGGTGCACAGAGGGCACATGTTGATGTAGGGAGACTGGTTATTAGAGTTGTCTATGAGAGAGATGATAGTTGCCTGGACTAAGGTGGTGATATTGGAGATAAACAGGTAGGCAGAGTCTACATATATTTAAGAGACAAAAACCAACAGGAATTAAAAATAAGTAATTGATTAACTATGAGCAACCAGGTAGAATAGATCATGCAAATGAAATGGGGTGATTGGATGAGGCAATTACTGTATTTTAGTAGGAATTGACAAATGGGACTGTGCCTCTAATTCACTGGTTTTTTTTTCCCTATTAATATTTCTCAATTGAGAGTCTTACCTAGAATCATCTGAGGAGGTATTTAAAGCTACCCATCCCTCATTCCCACAGATCTGCCTCACCAGGACAGTGGAGAGTAGATTAGAAATGCTCCTCCATTAAGAACCACTACCATAATGCTTCAATTTTTTTTTTAACTGCCAGCTTCCTTTCATTTCTCTTTTTGCTTCTTCTTATTAAACCAAGAGTTCAAAAATAATCAATGTGATTCTTTTTCTATAGAGTGGTGATTTCATGTTTTCCTCTCCAGATAAAGTTCCAAACATCCAAGTTGACAAACTGTTGCTTCATCTGTAGACCTCTGTATAGTTTCTTAAAACTAGTCCCTTCAAAGTTCATTTACAATAAATGTAATTTTGCATTTACTACGCTTTTCTTCCCCTTTTGACAACCTTGTGTGATTTCGCACACATCATTGGCATTGGCACTATAAGAC